GGGGAGTTGGGCTGTTTGGGTTTTTTTAATGACACTTTTTTTACACATACAGATTTTGTTACATGCACAAAAATATACCCATGCCACATTTTCAGCTGTCATATCAGGAACAACACTTAGTTGCCTCATAAAAGGACACTCACCAACATTTTCCTTTAGTTCAAAAACCATTATCAAGCAAGTTGTCAAAGAAGTTTTTTGGGTTTTTGTTTTATTTTGTTTGTTTGTTGGTGTTTTTTGTTATTTCTTTACATCAGGACATGTCACCCAGCTCTGGATAGATCCCCAACAAAAAGAATGCCAAACAATGTTCCAGATTCTGCAAAGTACCTAAAAAGGTGCTGAATAGTTAGTTAGTTTAGTCAAACATAATAGATTGCGGCTAAGTATCACATACATGACATTTCACATCCAACAATTTCCTTTTTGTTTCTGTAGAAGGAGGTTATACAGTAACTACACTGATAACATCATACCTACTTCAAAACCAGCGCGACTGTAGGATGACTACAAACTTCCCTAATTTACTAGCCACAGAGCTCAGTCATCTATAACAGGAGGTTGAATCCTACAATACCACAAATCACAGATCATAAGATTCTACCCTGAGCTTAGAAACTTGGAAAAGATATTAAGCCTGCAGCACCTTTAAGGGTCTAGAAGCTACATTTCTTGACCCCTGCTAGGCATCAAACAATTTTCCCCAAAGAGACAAGGGACCAAAGCCTACAGAGTGCTTAAGAGTTCTTTATATACAACTTAAGATGTCTGTGTATTTAAATCCAGCCCTTTCACTCTGCACTTTGCTATCCCAGGCTTTAGCAGTTTCTGAGGCTAGTACAAAATGTGGTTGACAGCAAAAGCAGTAATATAGCACCCTTGGAGTGTTTGAAGTGTAAAGTTCATTAGTTCTACTTTAAGGTCACTCTCTTAATCAAACAGCCAAAATCTTATTCGCACTACCATGCTGTTATCCTGGAAAAAAAGAAAACTGAAAAAAATCAAGACGTCAGCTTAGATACTTCTTACAAGTGACAAGATCAGCAAAAAATCCAAATCACAGTCAATACCTTTTAGCAAGTTTCAAGAAAGCAGCAAAACTGTTCTTGATTGTGCTGTAAACCAAATGAAATTTAATAGAACGGATAAAGGAAATGAAGGAAGGAGAAGATAAACATTTCAATACCTGATAATTGTGTTCTATAATTATTAGTTGAACTTGGCTTACAAATAGAATTTACTAGAGCATCTGTTGGGAATTACAAGACATGCAAATAACGGAATTTTAATTTCTTCTGTGTTTGTTTACTGATTTTTGTACATACAGTTTAAATTTTAACAAACTCAATTTTGTTTTATCCTCAGTGGATATTTGTACACTTATTAAAAAGTTATGTCAACAGAAGACTTTTAGAACACAAGGATTGTGTTTTAACAATTCTGAATCATATTTTTAAAACAAAAGGTAATAGCTCTGTAACTCACTAGCTTGATTGATCCTGCACAAACTCATACATCTTTACTTATATGCACTGTAAGAAGTTTTTAAAATTAAATGAGACACACCTCTAAGAGAAGTACATTAGCATGTAGAGCTGAGGAGATGACACTCTGTTTTTAGGAAATAATCTCAGAGACCAATATTTCTAATTGGTAACATTAGAAAAAAGTAGCTTTTCTTCACCCCAAATAATCGTGATCCTAAAGGTGAGAATTTTCAGTCTTGTTTGTTCAGAAGAACGGGCACTGCATTTCTTTCCAGTGCAAAATTAGCAACTGCCTCAAATTGAGCTCCCAAATTAAGACCCTTACCTACAAGTCTGCAGAGTTATCATTTACATTCCTCAATTTACCCTTTTATATTTATACAGTTATACCATTCTCACGCAAATGTTGTATTTCAACAAATATTAAATGGTTTTTATTTTACTCACCTGCACACTAAGATGAATCCATTTCTTCACAAGAATTCTCCCCAGTGTCATTACTTTTATTGGTGGCTGCAAACCATTTACTGTGCGATAATAAAACATGGTCTCTTTCTCAGAGATTGTGAGTTTGAACACAGTCTGCCCATCAATAGCCTTTTCTATCACACACCTTTGGAAATAACCAAGAAAAACAACATAAGGTCAGAGGCACACACATACACACATTCTTGCCAAGGCGCTATCCTGTAAAGTGATGCTAACCAGAACGCATTAAAATAAACATTAAAAATACAGCTCTTGAGAAGATGCTCAGTGACAGTGAAAGTCACAGGATGTACTAAGTGTAAAAGAACTTTAACAAAGATATTCTCTGTTTTAATCTGTGAGACTTTTATTATCTTTTTTTAATTTAGTGCACGCAACCTCAGTTCACTTGGGGGTGGAAGAGCAGTTTGCCTCCTCTCTTTGGGGTTCCATGACAGAAACCACAGTGGCTGGGCCAGCACTGTGCAGGTCTCTGCTGCCCTTTTCATACAAAGCTGTGCAACACAGTATATCTTGTGGAGGCACTTATATTTTTCTTAGTCTAACAAGGTATATGTAACATAACCACAAAAAAACAATACGAATTACATGTTCTGAAAAGAAGTCTTCCATCTTTCCACCAAATCTGTCCTGGTAAGGCAGCACCATCACCAACATCCCCTACACTCTCCCTTTGATGTGCCTTTCTTTAACCTAAGAGAGAACCAGAGCAAGGCAAGAAGGCTACCCAGCCACTTGTTAGCTTTTCCCTCCACCCCCCAAAGATTTCACATCAATATCAAATGCAACACTGACATATAAGTTACAAAGAATACCATCCATAGCACCCCATGTTGCATATCTAGCTGGTGAAACATTTTTGCCTATCCGATCACCACTATGTAAATGGTCCTGAAAAAGCATAGGCTATATATACTTGTGAAAGAGCTACATATTTTATTAAGGTAATCAGTACAGGAAAAATTATGAAGTTCGGCATTCTCATTTCAGTTGCTTGAGAAATTCAGTCCTCAATTTACTGACCCATGAAAAGGAAAATATTTTAACTGTTAACACCAAACTAAATTAGTGCACTAAGTCACAAGAAAGAAGCATATGAAATTTGTATGAGACAACTTACTTAGACGTATTTCAGAAAAAAATAATCTTATCTACCAATAAGCATCTTCATCTACTATGCATTTAACAAAAGTATCTAAAAGGCTGTTCTTCAATACTGCCATTATCCACTAAATCACCTTTAAATCCCAGAGAAAAATGAATTCATTTTAAGTGTTACCATTTTAGCCTGCTGGAATGTTGTCAATAAAACAACTTGCAAAATGCAGACTTCTGTTTTCCAAACCTTACTAAAAACACATTTCTTAATATACTGTCGACTGGTCTTTTCAATATTGTGTTTGCTTGTAAACATGCTAGTTTTGCTAGATAATAAATGTGAGGGAAGGCTCAGCTAAGTAGCAAAATATTTAGGAACTGGATTTACCTAGTTCCTGGATAAACAATAATTGGATAATCCAGGTTTTTATTTTAGTTATCTAAAACAAACATTCCCCCACATTGTTTTTATCCCCAAAGGTGTCATGACTTTAAGAAGGGAAGTGACCTTGATGTACAACACTTTGAAAACTGGAAAGAACAAATGTGAATTGTGGCTCTCTACTGAAAGAGAAAAAAATCAAGAGGGAGAAAACAGAAGAGGAAGGGGGAGGAAGGGAAAAAGAAAAAAAAAAAACCACACCACAAACTAGTGCTAACATCGGTGAAACAGGCATAAGCATTACTTCTGACTCCAAGCACGATTCTCCATTCCAGCCATGATTACAGGGAGAAACCACTGCTCTATGCAGTCTCCAACTTCTGGCAACCTGCAGTCCCACAGAGCCAATTCCTGACTACACAATTCTCTGTGGTGGGGTTTGGAGAGAGAATAACCAAACACAACAAATCTGCCTGGTCAGCTTTCAAAGAGAAACTAATATTCTAGAGAACCTAGCACGGCTGCACTGGTGATCTCCACACATTAACTGGAGCACTTGTAAATGGGAACATCTGCACGTGTTCAAAATCAGACATATGATATCTTAAGGCAACTCCCTTTTTCAGTCTAACTCCTAATGTAAAACATCTGAATGGATATAAAGTAATGGGATATGCTTTCAGTCCTTTAGATAAATAAAGTTTAAAAAAATACACCTATCACCCACTTACAATCAAGCCATTCCTCTGACCTCTGTGCATGTAAAAGGCCTCAGCTCATTTCTTTCCCACTACCTATGTCTTCTGGTCATCTAAGTTCCAGTTAGCCCAGTTCACACTAAATCAATACAAACTGCCTGTAATGATTACTCATATATGCTAAGCTTCTACTCATATTCTTATCCTCTTCCATTGTGAAGGGTTATTATCATACATAATTTCCTATATCGTGCTAAGGCTTACTTACAGGCTACACACAAGCTTACTGAAAGCAGTTATATTAACTGATGAGTACATGCAGTAAGAGAGGAAGCACGGGGAAAGAATAAAATTCAGGGACATGAGCTCTGCTCAGATTGCACTTACTGCCTTAAGGGAAAGTAAATTTAAAGACTGGCATACAAACGTGAGTGTTTTCTCACTGTTCTGTTTATTTTCTTCAAGGCTTCTAATATGCAGTGACTTAAAAGCATACCTACAAGTATCTATACTATAAATCTTAGAAGAACATTAGGGATTCAAATAAATCCATAACAAGATCTGACTTCACCCTCTCCATGTGTGAAAGTTTGTTCTTTTCCAGATTCACATAAGAAAACTTGGTATATGAAATTGATGTAGAAAATTCTTGGTGTCTTTGATTATCCACACATATTTGCTCCCCTAGAATGTCACAATCTTTAAAAGGGCCTTCAGACTTTGGACCTTTGCATCAGCATCTCTCACTTCAGCACACTAACTTCTAGCAGAAAAATCCTGCTATTCTCTTACAGAGAAATCTCACAGTCTTTACAAGGATGCAATGGGATACTTTTAGCACTCTCTAGCTTAGGAAAGACAAAGGAACAACATTCTTCAGCATGAAGAAACACATCAGTATGGCATGTCCAAAGAAAATGGATCTGCTGTACTTGATGTAAGACCACTTTGCCAGTAAACAAAATACCTTGTTAAGCTTTCAATTATTCTACTGGTAAAACGAGTGGCTGGTTCTGGCTCATCTTCCTAGTGTTTTGGGGGCAGCACAAAGACTTTGTTAGAAAGAGTCCCAGTTCCGTGAAGTCCCTCTGCTGTGATAACGGGGTTTAAAAGGTCTCACAAATGACGGCTAACAGGGACAATTCCCCATCAGGGACTGCAAAATATAGGATATCCAGTAAGTCAAACTCCTGCCAACCTGAAGGACTCACTAAACCAAAACAATACAGGGAAAAACATCTTAGTTTGCTGTCAAAATATTTCTCTTTTGTAGGATGCCTTCTGAGTTTAACTTCAGTGGCTATTTGTGTGCAATTACTGCTTCTCCACAACTGGAGCTCTTTATTTCTTTTAAGAAGAAAGAAAAATAAACACCCTTCTTTCTGCGAACAGTAAAAGAAATCTGGACAGTGGCATATCATCCTGGCCACTGGAATGACTGTTGTCCAACTTCCATTTTCAGGCCTGGGCTCTACCGTTGTCATTCCTACATGTTGAGTAATAGCAATCTCACAAGGCAGCAGAATGAAGTGATACATTACAAAAATCGAATAAAAACATTTAGATTTTAAAGTGATCTATAAAAGCCACTGAACAGGAATATGTACATTGTGTAGTTATTAACACAGCAGCAATTGCAAACTAATGTTTTAGCCCATGGATAATCGCCTGGTTTCTGCACAGCACTTAATCATTTCAAACTAAGGACATACATTTCACTGTTTTAGGCTCCATGCAAGCAAAAGCCTATCCCATTGACAAAAAAGTTTCACAGATCTCACTCAACACATCACTGCAACAGCTTGCGTGGAAAATAGCAGGATGTTTCTGCTTCAAGTTAGACATATGTTCTGCTGAACAAGGCTCTGATATGCCCGGATATGTGTGGACATTAACCCATAGCATAGGGCAACCCCAGGAATAGACTGACTGGCATTGGAGATTCAAACATTATGCAGAAAATGCTGCTATAAAAGACACTAGGCCAAAGCTCCACAGGCACCTTTACAGATACCTTCAGTTGAGCTGATTTAACTTAAGCTCACACTAAAGTCACTTTTGCTCTGCAGGTCTCATTTATTTCTCCTCTGTAACCACAATTTCTATAGCTAGTTTGATTTTTTAAAAAAGTAATTATCCTTGCACAAAATAGACTGTAATTTTATATATATCATTACAATTTTAGACATTTCTATTGTTTCTGATGACTTTCACACCCCTAGACAACTTATTAATGCATAGCAGCATGTAAAATAGGTATTAAGAATGCTACAACAGAGCAAATAATTATTTTTGTTCTAAGAATAAGTTATGAGTACAAGTGCAAAAACATTTGTGACTTATATACTCTGAAGGAATGCACTATACTTTTTGTGTTCTTCTCTTTAAAGAGTATCTGCACAACCAGGGTAAGAAGAAGTAGGAGGCTCTGCATTTTGTGATAGATTCTTTTTTTCCAGGATTTGCAATGCATTTTTCAAAAAGCAAGTTTTTCATTATGGTAAGGCCCAGTCAAGCTGAAGGGCCACTTATAACAGCAATATTGCCTAAAAATGTGAAACTTAGGCAAATAAGAGATGGAGCATGCTTAGCCACATCTGTTTTGGGAACATCTAGTGAAACTTCTCTAGCAGTTTGAATATCAGAATCTTTTGTTAAAATAGCAACACAATCTCTCATTCAGTCAACATTTCCCAGATCTTCCAGAAAAACTATGGCAACTCTTCTACAGTTATGAAACATTAATTTTGGAAGATATGGGACTTTGGTTTGGTTTGGTTTGGCTTCTTTAAGGAGTAAATTTGTGTTGGGGGATTCCTAAGATTTTATGTAGTTTTCCATCATGAAAGCAGCAACAGCACAAACCTCTGACAATGATGAAGCAAGTTTTTCTAGCAGCTCTTAAAAGAATGAATGTGAATTAGAAATATAAACTTAGATCTTTAAGAATAAACATAGGCATTAGGTATTAATATTTCCCACTGAAAGCAACTGGACTATCATCTGAGTCAACACCACTGAAAACTGAACCTACTTGCCTTGACATTTGCGAAGACCCCAACCTAAATACAGCTTTAAAACGTCACAGTTTCTCACTGTACCTTTTTAAAATTTTAAATAGCTTGCTAATAATGACCATGACTACAATGATCAATTTTTTTAAGAGCACCAGGAAAGTAAACACCTTCAATACTACTTACATTACACCTTCTTGCTCAGGTTTCAACCATACAGTTAACGTAAATGAAGCTGCAGGCCTCAGAGAACGGGGAGTAGAGAAGCAATCCTTGTGATTATGAAAAATAAAACTGGAAGCGTTGCTGAAGGACCCTGGATGCAAATCCCTTTTGTCCTCTGTGATACAAGTACCAAGGCCTTCTGAAAGAAGCAGTTTGTAGGAAGAAGGTGATGACCTGTATGGACACTCCTGAACACAAAACCTCTGGGTGCAAGATGTAATACTTTCAACGGCTACTGAGCTATGACAGAAAATACTTCGGTCTGGCAGCCCACAAGTGGCTTGAGTTGGCACGATTGACACATTCTTGAAAGCTCCCACATTTTCAAGCCTAGGGAAATGTCCCTGAGAGCTGACCAACACAAAGGAGTCATAATAAGTTAGGATTAATGTTTCAACAGCATGAAACAAGAAACGACACCTCAAGGAAAGAGCCCAGCAATTCATGTTTACAAAAAAGCTTCTCCTGATTAAAGCATCCGTAAATAAATAATGATGTCCATGTCGGTAGCAATGTCCTCAGGTGATATACTTTAAGAGTTTATGTAGTGCTTCATCTTCAAAACACCCATACAGGGACTCAGTCGCAGGGGACATCTATGTCTTCTGGCCAGCAAAACACAGGTGGGTGACAGCTGGTATCTGCAAACCACAGAAAACAGACACAACCTGTGGGAGGAACATGACCTTCTGCACCAGAGGCGATGCCCCACTAGGGATTTTAAGGGTTTGAATTCTCCTTCCAAATTCCAGCCAGCAGACCCACATGCACACCTTTGCTGGCTACAGCTGAGACATCTCTCTAAGTCAGGGGAACCAGACTAGACCAACTCAAGCCTGTGCACAGTCACAGCTGAGCGGAGTTTGTCCCAGATCTGTCGCGTCATGCCAGGCTGATGCTCAGCTTTGCACGTTAAGGTAACAAGCACAGAAACAGGTGGCAAACCAGGGCATGCAATTTCAGCCTCCAAGCACCCATCCTAAGGGTTTCAAGCTAGTTCACTGAATCTCACCTTTACAATCCTCTGGCGCTTACCTCTGAGTTACACTGCTACCTGAGAGCCACTCGGTGCCATCCCCACCGCACTATTTCAGGATACGCTGAGGGACACCCCCTTGTCTCTGCTCTTGAGGAGATCGTGTATCTATCCTGCTCTCAAGTCGATGGCCCTCTTAGTGCCTTAACCTGCTGCCCACCTCACCCTGCTCCTTCCAGTCCTCGGCAAAGCTGATTAAAACCACGTCTCCCATCTGTCCCGTGTGTATCTTCCTAAGAGCTAACGCCTGCGCTGGGGCTCACCGGCAGACGGGGTAGGGGCAGGCGGCGAACCGCGCGATGGGGGCCGATAAAGAATTCGATTTACCGTCATTTACTGCGCCTAGGAGAGGAGCAGAGCGAAGCGAGGAGACCGGCGCGGCGCGCGACGGCTGCCCGCGGCAACG